CTTCCTTCCTTCCTTCCTTCCTTCCTTCCTTCCTTCCTTCCTTCCTTTCTTCCTTCCTCCCTCCCTCCCTCCCTTCCTCCCCTATGGTCCCAGGGTCTTACACATTGAGGGCAAGTGCTTCTCCCCTGAGCGGCATTCCCAGCTTTAGTATGCCTTTTCCATAGCGGAAAGCACTGAGACAATCAAATGAGAGTTTGTGGTTCGTAAGTACAGGTTTCAGATTCTTTTACCATTATTATTATTGCTTGCTTGTCTTGGTCGGTGGGAAGCTGTCGAGTTTTTCTTGAGGTCTGTTCTTTTGTAAGTTACTGGCTTTCTCTCTGTGCCTCAGCGAGGTGGCTGATCCATGCTTTTGTAAACTGCTCAGCCAGCAGCAGATTGCTATTACTTGTTTCTGGACAGCTGCTAGGGTGTGTGCATGTGTGTGTGTGCATGTATGTGTGTGTGTGTGTATGTGCATGTGTGTGTGTGTGTGTGTGTGTGTGTGTGTGTGTGTGTGCTTTACTTCTAAGAACCACCTCCTTAGACAGGTACATGTTTTGGGCAGGTAACAGTGAGGTCTCCTAGTATAGAGGTCTCATGTCATCTTCACCCAACTACCACATGCTTTGACTCATGCCCCCAACGTCAGTTTTTGACCCTCCTTCCTGTGAGTACAAGGCTTTTTTGGGTGGGGGTGTTGCAGAGCAGGGAGTGAGGAAAGTGGTAGAAGGGTCTGAGCTGACTTCATTCCTGCAGGGTTTCAGTTTTGCCCGCCCTCCCTTAAACCACACTAAGCACGGCTTTCTTTGGTCCTTTGCCGGCCTCTAATCTTTCTCATAAACACTTGATGAAAGTTTATGAAGAAAGGCCTAGGAAAAGGTGCAAATTTATTTTGGATCTGCAGCTCCTACAAGTTCTAAAGCCTTACAGTAGGCCACACTCTGTCTTTTACATGTTAAAAGACAATTTAATGGGCCTGAGATACAGGATATATAGCTCAGTAGTAGAGTACTTGCCTGTACATGTGAGGCTTTAGATTCAAACCCCAGCATGTATGCATGTGAGTGCATTGGTGTGTGTGTCTGTGTCTGTGTGTAGAGGAGTATTGTGATGCTCAAAGGATAACTCTTTGGAGTGGGCGTCTCTTTTTAGCGTGGGTTCTGGAGGTTCACAGCCAGCCCCTCCACCCTCTGAGCTATTTGACTGATGGGTAATCTCTAATCTTAATCACTTGGATTAAAAGGTTCTATGATTTTTAACCTTATGACTGAGAGGTTAAGAAGTATTTCATGGTTTTGTTGTTGTTGTTGTTGTTGTTGTTTGTTCTCTGAGATAGGATTTCTCTGTGTAACAGCCCTGGCTGTCCTGGAACCCTCTTTGTTGGCCTCGAGCTCAGAGATCCACCTGCCTCTGCCTCCCAAGTTCCAGGGTTAAAGGCATGTGCTAAAACTGCCTGGCCATGAAAGAAGATGTAGTGTTTAATCTTTGTGGCTGCTTCAGTTTCAACACAAGTTAACAGCTTCATGAAGTTCTTACATGAAAGTTAGGGCACTGATTGGGGAAAAGTGAGGACAGTTTAAATGGGGCACATTTGGACAGATTTGTGATATCCCGAAGTAGCCCCACCATAAAGACTTGCCACTTCCGAACCTGTTCCACTTCAGCCAGCCTTCACTGTCTCTGGCTCTGCTAGAGTCACATCCCACCATGCTCTAGGACGGGTGCAAAGCAGAAGGAGGGGAAAAGCTTCCTTACAAAGACAATTCACTTGGGCTTTAAGTAATGTTGGGTAGCTATGCATGAGCCCAGATTGGGAGTGTGCCTGCCAGAAGCTCAGTTTATTGGTTCAAACAGCTGGGAGTGACTCCTCACGTTTTCCACAAAATGTCAGAAGTTCCTTGCTGGGGTGGGGTTTAGCTCAGTTGGTAAGAATGCTTGCCTAGCAAGCACAGAATCCTGTTCTGTTTTGCTTTTCTTCTTCTTGTTGTTTTCTCTATGTAGCCCTGACTGTGCTGGAACTCTCTTTGTAGACCAGGCTGGCCTCTAACTCACAGAGATCTCCCTGCCTCTGCCTCCCGAGTACTGGGATTAAAGGTGTATGCTATCACCACCCAGTGGCTTTTTAAATTTTTTTTTAATTTTTTTAAATCTCCCTGCACAAGCTGGCGTGGTGGTACCCCTGCCTGTAGTCCCTGTACTTGGGAGGTCGAGGCAGGAGGATCTGAAGTGCTAGGTCATTTTTGGCTACATAGAGAGTCCAGAGGCTTCTTTGTCTTAAAAGGACAATTTTTGAATGCAGAGTTTTGTTTTTCTTAATTGGTGGATGGGAGTGCAATTATTGGAATGTATGACCTGCTCGCCCACCCCCCCCCTATGACCGAAGAGTAATGTTATAGAATGTGCCCCTTTCCCGGGTGTCTTAGGGTTTCTATTGCTGTGGAGAGACACCGTGACATACCAACTCTCATAAAGGAGGGCATTTAATGGGGGCTGGCTTACAGTTTCAGACGTTTAGTCCACTATCATCACGGCGGGAAACATGGCAGCGTGCAGGCAGACACGGTGCTGGAGGAGGAGCTGAGCGTGCTGTACCTCGATGTGCAGGCAGCAAAAGCGACCATGCGCCACAGTGGGCAGAGCTTGAGCAGATGGGACCTCAAAGCCCACCCCCAAAATGACACACTTTCTCCAACAAGGCCACACCTCCTAATAGTGCCACTCTCTATGGGCCAAGCATTCAAACACATGAGTCTACGGGGGTCGGGGGGAGACATCCCTATTCAAACCATCGCACCAAGACACTGGAAAGGAAAATGATGAGGTGAGTGGTGAACCGACCGTCATCCTTGAAAAATGCAGCAGCTCTTCTCCTTCACTGGGGGACGTGAGAAGCACAGGCCGTCATCATTGTCCCTCCATTCTCCCGCTTCAACACGAAGGCTGCTGCTCCGAGGCAGAGGCCCAGTGAGCATCTGGGCAACAAAGAGAAAGTCATGAGTTACCACGTAAGACATCAGGGACATGGAATAGTAAGAACCGATTGACTTGCAGGTAGTTGTCTTTGGTGGTGGCTAATTTAGGAACATGTTTATTTTTATTTCATGTGTCTGAGTGTTTTGCCTGCACGTATGTATGTGCATGCCTGGTGCCCACAGAGGCCAGAGGAGGGGCCCTGGATCTCTCTGAGCTGGAGTTAAGAATGGCGTGAGTCTCCGTGTGGGTGCTGGGAATTGAACCCCGGTCCTCTGAAAGAGCATCAAGGGCTCTTAAACATTGAGGCCTATCTCCAGGCTTGGACATTGCTTTTTTTTTCCCCCAGCTTGTCCCATAACTGAAATAAAAGAATAGCCCAGGTCTGGTGAATGAATCTCGGTTTGAGGTGCCTTTTTTTGGAGAACTAGGGCTCCCCTTCTCATTCTCAGAGTCCAGCCCTTACCAGTTCTAGGCCAGGCTCCGCAGGAAGTGCGGGTCCTGAAGTGGGAGGTCTCCATCGAGGACGTTTGTGTCCTCTGTCCCAGTCAGGGCTATGGGCTTGAAGATCTGAGTGAAAGCAAGAACACGTTTCTCACCTGGGAAGCCATGGCCCACCATTGTGGCCTCCGACTGGCTGGCGCCACCTCCTTCGAGGAGCCCGTTTCCCCTGGCAGAAGCGAGGGTGGCCGCGCGAGCCTGGGGAGCGGACGCCGCTTTACCGGGAAAGGAGCGGTGGCCTGCGTGGTGGTATGGCGTCCGGACGCGGCTTCCTGGGCCTCGTAGCCTGCCTCTTGCTGCTTCAGTCAAAGCTCTGGGAGGCCTGGGCCGCTGCCTCTGTCCTCTCCACTTCCGGTTTGCCCTCTGGGCACAGCGAAGCCCCAAGGGACAACCCCCCGCCACCCCCCACCTTGGAGAGCATGTCCATGGTGGCCTATCAGGGTGGCTCCTCTCCCTTCGTGTCGATTACCTTAGGTAACTTGGCAACGGGTGTCTGTGTCAAGGTCCAGAGTGGGAGCTAGGGACACCCTGAATCCAGGGACACGGGTGCAGCCCAGGCCACTGTCGCCTTGCCTGTGGCTTCTGAGGGGGTTATGACTGCCGTGGGGAGGGTGCGGCCTCCCACCCCAGCCTTTAGGGTATGAAGAGCCCCGTGGAGTTCAACAGGGTAGCCTCCTTCTAGGCTGTCTTTCTGCGGAAATGCTAGCCTGAAGAGAGGGCCTAATTCTTTTGAGTTCTTCTCACCTTGTCCTCGCTCAGTGTGTGGCCAACCCCTCATGAAAATCTTGGGAGGACAGGAAAGTGAAGAGGGAAAGTGGCCCTGGCAGGTGAGCGTTCGGATCAGACACATGCATATCTGCGGAGGCTCCCTCATCAGTGCCCAGTGGGTGCTGACTGCGGCCCATTGTATTTTCAGGTGAGGAGGGCTTCCAGGCCTGACAAACTGGCGACACTCCCAAACGGGACACAAAAGAAGGGGGAGGGCACGCTGGGAGCACCTTGTTCCTGGAAATCCTTAGGGTGGGGCGCAGGCAAAACAATTGAGAGACTGATGAAGAGTTTTAGTGATATGGCCGGATGGTAGGGAGTAGCCGATGGGGTTGGGGCCACATCAAGGAACAGAGAGTGAGTGCAAAGGGGTCTAGGAGAGCTGTGTAGGGTCTCTTGCTGATGAGGCAACACGTCTTTTCCACAGCCAAATCCAGTACAATGTCAAGATGGGTGATCGGAGTGTCTATCGCCAAAATACAAGTGTGGTGATCCCTATCAAGAACATCATTGTCCACCCTAAGTTCTCCACAGCCATTGTCATTGAAAACGATATTGCCCTTCTCAAGCTCCAATACCCTGTGAATTTTACCTCTAACATCCACCCTATCTGCCTCCCGTCAGAGACTTTTTATGTGAAAACTGGGACCAGCTGCTGGGTGACGGGATGGGGCAGAACAGATGTAGGTGGTAAGACTTGGCACTCAAAGGGAAACCCAGCCTTATTCCTAGTGCAGAAACAAAGTACGCGGGGAGGGGGGAAGGGGACCAAAAGGAAGGCAGACTACTTGGCTGCTGTGGGGGTGGGGAGGCAGTTTGACAGGAGTCAAGGAAATGGTCAGCTTAGGGGATCCCAGATCTTGTGTTGAAGTCTTTTGTGGCAAGACAAATATCTGATGCCAGCCCAGGAAAGCTATCTCTCCTGGGAATAGGAATGTGTCAAATCTCCTTTCGCAGGTTTGTGGAACAATGTGCTGAGCAGTCATGGGAATAGCTGTGAAATCCCCCATGGGGAAAGGCCCGAAGCAATGGCATCCACCTGGGTGGATTTTCAGATTTGATTTGTTTTATTTTGTGTGCATGCTGAGCCTCCAGCACCTTGACTGGATTTTTGCTCATGAGATGATGAGCTGCCAGCCAGTTTCTCAATGGAAGCACCTGTCTTGGTATTTATGGAGTCCCTTGTGCCTAGAGGAACTAGGCAAGCTACAAGGCCTCTGTTGGTAGACTTCTTAACCACAGGAAGTGACATTTAAGCTTGTATTTCTTGAGAGCCCGTGATTATGTTCTAGACAGTGAAGAAACTTGGGTATGGTGTTACATGCAGAAGTATAGACAGTTTGAGACTAGTCAGGACTACAAAAAGACCCCAGTCCCGCCGAGAAACAAAAGATAACAGAGAAAGATGCACAAGGCGTCTCCTCACTATCACACCAACATTAGTGATGTACTTGATGGGTTTTCATTTCTTCAGCCTCTCAGGCCTTGCTTCTCCTTCAGAAATATCATCCTTCTCTTGTCTTAGTTTTGCCCTTTTTTTAAGCATTGAGAATTGGACCTAGGGCCTTAAAGATGCGAGGGAAGGCTCTAGCACTAAGCTACACTCACAGCCTTTTCTACTTTGTGTTTTGAGACAGAGTCTTGCTAAATTGCTCAAGATGGCCTTGAACTCACCCTGTAGCTCAGGCGGGCCTTGCAGTTGAGATCCTCTGCCTTGGCCTCCCAGGCACTTAGACTTGTGCTATTGGGCCTGGCTCCATTTTACCTGTTACTTAATCCTTTCCTATGACCATTTTGAGTCTCAGTTTTCTCCTGTATCAAATGGTAACAATATTAATTTCCCTGCCTTTACACGGTGTGTGTGTGTGTGTGTGTGTGTGTGTGTGTGTGTGTTTGAGTGCTTGCTATCCACTGTGTAGATTTATACACTGTTGATCTTCTTCATTAGCACCAAAAATTCCAACGGCAATTCTCCGGGAGGTGGAGCAAAATATCATCCATTATCATGACTGTAATGCTATGCTGAAGAAGGGTGTAGGAACGTCTAAGGAAATGGTGAAAAGCGGCATGATCTGTGGCTATAAAGAAGGAAGAAAGGATTCTTGCCAGGTAAGCTCATGGGCCCCTTCCTCAGCCTCAGATGGCAAGGCCTGAGTTACTTGCCACTTCTTTTACTCAAGAGAATTCATGAGGAGAGCCCCATACCCCACAGCTCCTGGAGCTGGCCTTGCCTGATCTTTCTAGGTAGCACAGGATGGCCTTGAACTTGAGATCTGCTTGCATCAACCTCCCAGGCATTGTGATGACAGGGAGACACCATCTTGTCCAGCTGGTTTTGTCCTTTCTAAACAATGTAGCCTTGGTGTGTAGGCTGATGTGTGGGGCTTCCTGTCTGTGTGTGGAAGTTGGGAATGGGTACTCTAATAATGCTTTGTATTGAGTTCCCCTAAGTGGCAGTTACCATTATAAAGGGAACATAAACCTATATTAACTCAGTTAACCTATATCAGTTAATTAACTCAGTTAACCTCAGTTAATTAATTAGTTAATTAACCTAATTAACTCAGTTAATTCAAGTTAACCTTGAAACATAATACCGTATCATACTGCCATGGAAGGTAAAACCCAAAGCTATGAATTCAAGGTCCTCTTGTGATACAATTTTTAGAGCTAGCAGACAATATGTATAGGGGATCAGAAATCTGAGTGAGTTTCTTAGGTTGTCCAAGTGCATGGTGTGTTCTTGTAATCCAAACACTGATGAGGTTGAGGTAGGAAGATGCAAAGTTCAAGGCCAGACTGGGCTAAGTGGTGAGTTTGAGGTAAGTCTTGTTACACGGTGAGACCTTGTCTCCATTTCAGGGATAGGAGATGAAGAAAAATGCTCAGTGGACAAGAAACCCTAGGTTGGTTCCCCAGCACTGGGGTGGAGGATGCTGGGGCAATGAGACAGGGTATCCAATCATGGCCAAGTTTCTAGAGTGGTCCAGGCAGGCATGGGCAGTGGGGCCTGGTGAACACAGTCAGATTTTCCTTTTAGATCAACAGCTCCCTTAGGTGTGTAATTCCAGTACTAACGTCTTCAGAGCTTGTAGGAAACGCCATTGAGTTCTGAATAAGGTCTGGGGCAACTAAGCGGTGAGGAAAGAGTCTCTGAGGTAAAATTTTCAGTTCATGTGAGGTTAGGGGTGGTAAGAGAGAGGTACTGAGGTGAAGTGATCCTTAGGGTCTCTGTAGCAGGTTTAGGAGGGGACTCTATAATGAGGAAGGGTCTTGCTATATAGGTTAGGAGCTTTGGAGGAAATTAAGTTAAATGTAAGGAATTAGGAGCTGCTATATAGAAATAATATTTAATAGGATTAAAAAAATTTTGTTTTTATTTGTGTGTATGAGTAGTTTGCTTTATATATGTATGTGCGCCGTGTGCCTGCAGTGCCTGAAGGGGCCAGAAGAGGGCCTCTGATCCCCTGGAACCGAGTCACCAACGATTGCGGGTCACCATGTGGGTGTTCTCAACTAGTGTAGGGTCCCCTGCAAAAACAGCATGTGCTCTTAACCCCGGAGTCATGTCTCTCACCCCTCAGAAGCGGCATTCAGCGTTTAACACCACTGTGGCTTGAGAAATGATGATAACCTCAGAGGATATTAACATTTTCCTATTAGCTTTTCAGTGGCCATAGTTATATATGTAGGTCTGGCATTTTTGTATTAATAGCAGTTTGGGCCTGGCAAGGATGCTCCCCCCCCTTCCTTCTGAGATAGTGTCTTGACATGTAGCCCAGTAGGCTTAAACTCCCTGAAATCCTCCTGCCTCAGCCTCCCTAAGGGCTGATACTATAGGCAAATGCCACTGCACTTGGCACAGGCTGGACCTTTGGGTGCCTGAGGAAACCTGTCGCTTGCCTATCTTCCAATGTAATCAGCCAAATCCAGTGGGAATCAATGCCATTCTTGCCATTTGTTTCTTTCTCTGTCCTCAGGGGGATTCTGGAGGCCCTTTGTCCTGTCAGTTTAACGACAAGTGGGTGCAGGTGGGGATCGTGAGCTGGGGCATCAGCTGTGGTCGCAAAAACTTCCCTGGAGTTTACACAGACGTTGGCGCTTACAGCAAGTGGCTAGTTGCAGTGGTGAACCAGGCTACTTGTTTCCAGCCCGTGGCCTTCCTCATCTTACCGCTGCGCCTGCTGCTCTTGTGACTTCCTGGGACATGGTGATGGCTCGTCTCTCCTTTGCCTTCCCTTGCCTTCCCTTGCCTTCCCAATGCCCTTCCTTCAAATCCCACTTGGGATCCCTTGCCCCGGAGAGAGCCACAGTGAGATGTGTCAGGGGTCTGAGAGACTCCAAAGTGTTCTGCCTGGTGCTCTGGTCACCAGCCTTGGCTGCATTACTCCTGAGCTGGGCTCTGGCAGGAGCGAAGGTGAGTCAATTCCAGTTACTAGGCAAACTGGCCTGCCAGGTAAATGACAGTGACCTATGCAAGGACCTCAGCATGGGTTGGGCAAGCACCTGGCTGTGGCTTCAGGGCTCTCACCTCCCACCATGTCATACTAGAGCTAGCTTGTTGACCACAAAATGAGAGAGGGGGGAGAAAGAGAGATCTTAGGTACCCTAACTATAATTGTTGTCTCTCTCTCTCTATGATTTTGTGAAGTTACATTTCTCATCGAATGTAATTTGCAACAATGTTCAAAGATAAAGTAGAAATTTGAAGAATAATTAAGAAAACTTATGAGCAGATTTCCTTATTTCTCTTAAAGAGTTTCTTTTTACAAATAAAACTAAGGGGGTTTGTGAAATGCCCTAATGTCAAGAGGACAGCTGGGCACATTGAACTCAAAGGTCTAATGCTCTGGACCCGAACAAGCGCAGAACACTTGTAACCTTGCTTGTTTGTTTGCTTGTTTTCAAGAGAGGGTTTCTCTGTGTAGCTCTGGCTCTTCTGGAACTCACTCTGTTGACCAGGCCGGCCTCGAACTCACAGAGATCCGCCTCTGCTTCCTAAGTGCTGGGATCAAAGGCATACACCACCATCGCCTAGCTTGTGTCACCATCACCCAGCTATACTTGTAGCTTTTAACACCCTTGTTGGGGGTATCTCTAAGAAAAATGAATATTGTCTCCATACTCTTGATTTTGGCTGTGCCGAGGACATTTTATTTTCGGCTAGCAGGAAACACGAATTAGATTCTACAGTGAGGCATTTTCTTTTTCCTTCTCACGTCACCTTAAATATTTTTCAGCCTCCCTCACTATTCAGCATTTGTATATTCTCCTTTGCAAAGTGTCTTTTCAAGTTTTTTTTTTTTGTCATAATACAGATACCTTCTATTACTGATTTGTAACTATTCTTCATATATCCAGATAAGAGTATTAAATGTGAGACTTGATTTGCTTCTAACTGGAGGCTGTGAAAAATTTTTTACAAATATTTTTCCCCTAGAAAAAAGGCTTATAGTTTTTTGATTGTAGATTAATTTTTGTAGAGATCAAAGTATATATTTCTATGCCTTTAATGTTTGTTAAATTGTTACAGTATGATTTGTTGAAGTGCATTTGTTTCTATATCAATTTATACCACCAAGCGGCAGTGTATTTCCACACCTGTTTCTTGACTCCACCTGTATCTACCTACATTCTTAAATTAAAATGCCCCTCAGTCGTGGTTACTGCGGTTTCTAGTCTTATTTGGTCGTGTCGTACCTACAAACATATTCATATTTATCAAGCTTCGGTCTTCTTGGAACTTACATGTTGATTCTAAAATGTATATGTAGGACTTTGGCAATAGCTCAATTTGTAAAGTGTTTGCTGCATGTGCACACTTGAAGACTTGAGTTTAATCCCCAGGCCTACATAAAAAGCCAGGCATGGTGGCATGCACTTGTAATCTCAGTGCTGGAGAAGCAGAGACCAGCAGCCCTCTGTGACCACAGGCGGTCAGCCCAGCCTAACAGGCTGAGAAGGAATCTGACCCAAAGTTTAAGGTAACCGGCAACACAAAAATGAAGGCAGAGAGGCCAAGCTCTTATCCTGTTTACACTTTTCCATATGACATCTGCAGGCATGAGCAAAGAGTCACAACAGCAGCCTCTAAATCGCTTTATATTTATATATTTCTAATATTTACATATTTATATTATCCAGAATCTGGAAAAACCCAAATGTCTTATCAGAGTTTAATGGCAACTACTTAACAATGAGAACTGTTAAATTAATTTGTTGTTAAAAATCATAAGAAGCCAGGTGTGGTGAATTAATATAACTGAACAGAAAGTCAGTAAAGAGTTGTATGTGGCAGTTCATGCTTGTAATTCCAGTTCCCTTTTCTCCCCCATCCCCACCCTGGGAAGGGGAGGTAGGAGGATTGAGTTCAGGCTGTCTGAGTTTAAGGGCAGCCTAAACTTTTAATGAGATGCTATCTTTAAAAAACTAAAAAGAAGGGCCTGAAGAGATGGCTCAGCCGTTAAGAGCACTGTCTCTCTTAAAAATAAATAAAAGAAGTAACAAAAAAAGAAAAAACAAAAACAAAACAAGGAAGCCTGGAGTGTTGGCCCACCATTAATCTCAGCACTTGGAAAGTGGAGGCAAGTGGTTCCTTGTGAGTTCAGGGTCAGCCTGGTCTACACAGCAAATTCCAGCGTAGCCAGGGTTATGTAAAGAGACTTTGTCTCAAAATGCCTCCCCTCTCTGAACAAAAAAAAAAAAAAAAAAAACCAAACTGGCTAGAGTAGTGGCTCAGCCATTAAGAGCACTGGCTGCTCTTCCAGAGGACCTGGAATCATTTCCCAAAATTGCCTGTAACTCTAATTCCAGGGGATTCTTCACCCTCCCTTGGCTTCTGTGGGCATCAGGCATGCGTGGAGTGTGCAAACACACATGTAGAAAAAAGCACCCGTACATATAAAACAAAAATAGAAATGAAAGAGGAGGAAGAGTCGAGGGGAAGAAGAGGAACTGCTGGTTTGTACTAAATGGATGAAATTTTAAAAAGCTCTGTTGAGAAGACTCTGATTTTAGATGGCAGATGGTTTTCTCTGCTGTCCTCTTAGTGTTGTTTGGGATCTGCCTGCACAGATTTGTTCTTTATCACACCTGTGGTGCGCAGCAGCCTTCAGAGCCCTCTATCTCACTGCAAGGAAGGTGGCCCAGAAAGGAGTTGCCGCAGAGGTGCTGAGTCCAGGTAGATTATGTTAGAGATTTGTCAAAGCCAGGGCTAATCTCAGTCTGAGTTACGAATTTCCTTAAACAAGGGAGGGTGGTGATGTCAGGTGGTGAATTTCAGGAAACTGAGATGTTAGCGCTATCCTCTACCATCATCATCACCACCACCGTCATCATCGTCATCAGAGATTCTCATGTAGCCCAGGCTAGCCTTGAATTTACACTCCTCCTGCCCCGACTGCAGGTGTGTAACATCATCCCTGGTTGCTACCAATTTTTCAAAATTAATTTTTAGCTAGTGAACAAAGTATTAAGTTTCATCATGGTCCTTTTCTGCTTCTCTCTCTCTCTCTCTCTCTCTCTCTCTCACACACACACACACACACACACACACACACACACACACACACACACAGATTCAATAGAACAAATGAAACCACCATGCAGTATCTCTCTCCCTAAGCTGGGTTAGTTCTCTTGAGCTCCAGGGGACAGGGGTTGGAGAGATATTTAGCACTTAAAAATCCTGGCTGTTCTCCCAGAAAACCCAGGTTCAATTCCCAGCACCTACGTAAAGGCTTACAGCCATCTGTGACTCCAGTTCCAGGGCACCTGATGTGCCCTCTGACCTAGATACACATGTGCTGTGCTTGCATAGATGCAGAAAACACATTCATACACATAAAAAAAAAAAAAGAAAAGTAAAGAAAAAAAGGGGGAAGCATAAAATAAATAGATGTTCAGACAACAGAGGACTGAGCTCCGGGGAAGAAGATGAACAAGGGAGGCAAGTCTTACAGTGACATTGGCTTTCTTTGTGTGGGCAATTTTCAGATGGTGCAGAGAAAACCCAGACAGAAGAAAGCGACATCATAAAGAACCAGAGGTTGGAGCTAAAGATGGCTAGAGGCCTGACAGTTTCAGGTTAGAACACTGTAGGCCAGAGCGTTGGCAAACTGTGGTTTATCTGCATTTCAGGACATTGGCAGGGCCGTGAGATGCTCAGCTAGTCGAGGTGCATGCTGCCAAGACTGACTTTATGAGCTGATCCCTTCGATCCACATGGCAGGAGACCTGACTCCTGCAAGGTGCAAGGTGTCCCCTGACCTCCACATACCTCCCGTGGCACATGTGCACCTGCACACAGGCACGAATGCACACACGCATGCACACAGACATGCATGCACACAGACACACATGCACACAGACACACACACACAGACACACATGCACACAGACACACATGCACACAGACACACATGCACACAGACACAGACCCTCCCCCCCCAGACAGAGACACACTAAATAAATAAGTGGGTGGTTTTTGGTTTGTTTTATTTTAAGAAAGAGAGCCTGTTAGCTGGGTCTGGTGGTACATGCCTATAACCCTGGCACTTGGGAGGTGGAGTTAGGAATGAGTTTGAGAACTTGTTTCAAAAATTGAAAAAAAAAAAAAAAACCAGAAAGGAAGAAAGAAAACTGCCTGATTCTGCACAGGCTTATAGTAAGAATTATATTTACACTTTTGTTTTGTTTTGGGGAAGGGTCTCATGCAGCCTTCAACTTGCTATGTAACCAAGGCTGGCCTTGAACTTTTTATCTCTCTGCCTCCATCTCCCAATTGCTGGGATTATATGCATGTGCCCCA